ATTACTTTGGGGTGGTAGGCGGGGTAAGATATTTTGACAGAAGAGCCTAGATAAACCTCGCATGGAGCCACAGGTCGAGTGCAGAAGGTATGAAGAAATCGGCGCGTGGACGAATTGAAAGGTACCCATGCGCCGGATTGATGGGAGGGGGAAGGGAATACTACAAGAAAGCATTCGTCGGTTCCAACCATTCATCAGTCCCAGTGGTGCCTTAGGTATGGAATCCATGTAGCAGAGATCATGTAATGGAATGAGTGGTGGTGAGTGTTGGTCGTACTTAGTGTAGTATGACAGACAGACAGACAGGTGCAAGGAACTTGGTCGGCCATCGATGGAACGCTTTGAGTGGGTCAAGTGGAGGTCAAGTTGAAGATCCTCCGGGGTTTCGAAAGGAATCGGATGCCCCGAGCCACCGCTCAGTGTCCTTGAATTTCAACTAGTCCTGTCGGTGAACAGACACAAGTGGATGCCTCTCCATTGTATATGTACCTATCTACCTTCAATTTGAATAGAGAAAGCGAAAATATCTGTCGCTACAATCTGTTCTATGAAAAGAGATTGAGGATGCAAGCTCTGAAAAGGGTTTGTCAACGCATTCAATTGCATCATCCCCTTCAGGCTTGATGCACAGCGCATGCGACCAAATACCTATACTAGCGCTTGACTACAGAGGCCCAGCCGTAACAAAGAAATATATAGCTCGGTTCTGAGGGAGAGAGAGGGAGGAGAGTAATATGGGAAATGAAATGAATTGATTGATTAATTCATCCATTCATTCATTCATATGAAAACCGTCGGCTGACATTAACACTGGATGTGTGTGGTGGTCTTCTCCCAGTTGCCCCACCATTTGGTATGCGCTACCATCCGGATGTTTTGTCGAGGCCACCCGGAAGCAACCCGAACAGGGAGCTATCTTTTGTACTCCGTATATATGTACAATAGGAAAGGAAGCGAACAAAAAGAGAAAGGGCAAAATTGAGTCACCCATCTTATAATTATTGTCAAGTTCTACTTTCTTGTCTTTTCCAATTAGATTTTGTTTTTCCATTTTTTTTACTTTTCTTCCTCCATCGTTATTCCCAGGGAAAAGGGTCACGGGTGTCAGACCACTTCTTGTATCATAACGTCATACTGTCGTTACGTTACACTCCACCATAACCCGACAATCTTTGGGTCAAAACAGCAAAAGCGTCCAGGAAGATTGTTCGAAGCAAACATCTCAGGTCCCAGGTACATGATTAACCCTCCCATACTTCCATCCATTTGTCGAAGGACGTCGAACATCATCTCCCCTCTTTTGAGAAGTTCTGTTGGACCAACCGTGTGCCACACTAAAAAGAAGCGCATCCGAATTGCGGGGGAAGAAGGACGCAATCAAATCATTGTCAGGAAAAAGGATGACCTCCTCACCAGTAAAGTTAGGGTCGAAGGATTGCCCGTCCAATTACGAGACGCAAGTTCCCATGTCATGCAGGATCTTCTGCCATCCAAATTGCGGAGAGAGCTTTCCCGCATTGGTTCTCTCAACCCACGAGCCGCCTTTGCATTTGCCTAGGCTCTTTCTACCTTTCCAGCCATATTATATTCCCCGCCGTCAGAGGAGAGAGATCTCCCATTACTCACCGATATCCCCAAGAAGTAAGTTCACTTTACAGTGACTGTTTTTTTAAGGCCCCTGGCTACCCCTTTCGTTGGTCCAAGGGGGGTGCAACATAACGGACAGTTCAAGAGGAAGAGCTACTGGTCCCACCCATGGTTGAGAGCTGCTGGACCCTTCTTTTGGCCGCTGGGTCAATGATGGGTAATGACACCAAAAATCCGATGGTAACCCACGGATTGCTGGAGGTGCATTCCAGCCTTCAACGCCCCATTCACTATGGAATATTTCAACTGAGACCGGATTGGTGACGTGGGGATGTTGCACGATTACTCTCATTGATCATCATCTGATACGGTATTGACACGATTTCTTTGATCAAGGTTTCCCTTTTTTCCTCTTTTTTTCTTTCCCTCTTTTTCACATTCGGATCCTTCTTATTTATGTAGTTTTCTTTTTTGAGGTTTATATTCCCCGAGATTCGGTTTAATGCCTTTTTGACTGGTGGTCTCTGCCGGTACATCAGTGTACACAGATATATATGCCATACAGTAGGCGGAAAGAATCGACACCATACAATACCTCAGCCACACACACACACTCACACTCATACACAAGCAAGAAACCAATTATTCTATTCCATCCTCCACCACCCACCGGCAATGTCCAAATGCCGATCCGATCTCTCACAATTTTCAACCTCATACAGGAACACTATGATTTTGGCCGCATCTAGAACCCCGCAGCCCCTTCCAGGCAGGTCCGACCAGGTCTAGTTTTCATATAAACCTCCAGGTCTCGAAAGTCAGGTGCTTCCCATCCCGTATAGTAAAATCTGAGGGCCACTAGCAGGAGTAACTAGAGGATGTATGTCCGTAACCCAAGAAATCGACTAAATTAACCCTACGCTTGAGCGCGCACTCCCCCTCCCCTCAGAAAGAAAGTCCATTGCATCTTTTACTCCGTAGTAGGCCACTCTTCTCCAATTTGGAACTCCACCTTCCGCGCTTCCACCCGACGCTAGTATCTTTGTTTACAATTCCCCTTGCAGTATTGGTTCTCGCTTGATTGGGGTAATTTGTTGTGACATGTGTCTTTCGTTTTTCGGCATTCGGCTGCCCATTCCCGACGCCCAGTTTGTCCCGCCATTTTGTGGCGAGCGGCTGGGATGGTGTATGGTTGTGGCGAATTTGGGACCTTTCCAACTTGGGTGCCTGGATTGCGGGAGGTAATGTTGTTAATCTATTGTTCTTGCTTTGATTTCTTACTGGGTTTGTTAACTAGTCCTGCTCAGTGTTGTTGTAGAGAGGTGTATGTTTTTGTAGTTGATTTGACAGTATTGTACAAGGTCCCATTGCAGCATTGCAGAGACGTAAACATGAGCATTTCCATACGCGAAGCTATTCTATCCACTCATTAAAACATTGATATGCAACCAATGGTATATAAACGAAACGAACAAAGACATGGGCAGAATACAATGCTTTTATGGGGCCGAGTCCAGAGTACCCTTGCCTCCCGTAGAAGCGGTGGCAGCGGCACCCTTCTGCTGGCGCAGCTTCTCTTCAAACTTAGCGAATTCGTGCATCGAGATCTCCTCTTCTTCATCCATCACCTGCTCAACTCCTTGCACTTCTTCGATCTGTCCAGCCATGCACCATTAGCCACCTACTCCAGCAAGCAACCCCGAAGGGGAAATAAAAAGGCGGGAAACTTACGTAGTGCATAAGCATAGACTCAATGCCATTCTTCAGAGTGACGGTGCTTGAATCGCAGGTACGGCAAGCGCCGCGCAACTTTAGCATCACAATACCGTTCTCAAAACCGCGGAGCTCAATGTCGCCGCCATCTTCCTGGATTGCCGGCCGGATTCTTGTCTCCAGGAGCTCCTTGATCATGCTGACAACTTCGTCGTCCTCTTCGTTGTAGCTGAGTGATTCCTGCTCGCCGCCCTCCTGTGCGCTCTCTCCGGACTTGGCGACTGTGTTGACGATCGGCTCACCGGAGGTTACAGCCTGCGTAATCAAGCTGAAGACTTCGGGTTTGATATGGGCCCAGTTTGCATCGCTTGCCTTGGTCACAGTGATGAACTCGGGCCCGAAGAAGATGGATGTTACACCGTCAACATTGAACAGGTTCGCAGCCAAGGGGGAAGGGTGAGGAGGAGCGAGGGTAGAGCGAGGAGACAGGAACTCGAGGAACGATGTCGGGAAATCCTCTGGGAGGACACGATGGTTAGGGATGAATTTCAGAGCCTAAATCCAAGTCTCAGCGTCAGTATTGGTCCAATTGAAATGGTCTGAATGGTGGTTAACCTACGTCGGGATTCGGTGTGTTCTCGGTCTGGATGAAAATTGAGCGCTTGCTGACTGGAGATGGTCCATTCACGCGGGTCACCGCAGACTGTTGGTGAGGCCGCAAAGTCGGCCGATGACGAGCCTCCGAGGCAGTAATAGCGGGCAACCGAGCCGAACGGTGGATAGTTCTGTAAGATGCAAAAACATTGGGGATGACGGTGCACGAAGAAGCCTCAACCACGCTCAAGCGCTGTGCCGTGACTCTGGAGTTCAGAATAGTTCGCCTAAGCATGGTGCCGGATACTGAGCTGACAGACATAATGTAAATTTAGCAACCTAGGACGCTGGGGTATCTGGTTTGTCTGTTTGAAAGTGCTTCTGGATAGTTGATAGAAAGTACATTTCTTCCGACCGCCCGGCACTCTGACGCAATAAAGTTCCACGTGACCTCGGGAAAGGAACTTGCTGATAAATCGGTAATTGACTCGAGCCAATCACAAGGTGGCAGTTTGACATTTACATTGCATTCCGCGGAAAGCGAGACATCGAAGTCCCAAGAGGTATGCTTTGAGCATTCCTAGGGACAGTTGTCTTCTCATTCTACCAGAGGACATCTGTTCTTTCGAGGATATGTATATACAGTACATGTTTCACTATTTACAAGTAACTCAACATATATTTGTTCCACGCCAACACCATATGAAAATCTTGTATATGTAAACTCCAGGGCCATACCTTCTGATATACGGTTGTGATTGTTCGTTTTTGATAACGTACCAGCCAACCACGACAAAAGGCGGGCTTTCCTGATCGAGGAGATATTCTCGGAGCATAGCACTAAAGGGCTTAAAGCTGATAACAGCATATGCTCATTCATTATGCGAGATAGGCGACACGTTCAGAAGTTTCCCCGGACAAAAGTCACTGGAGCTTGGGCTCAGTGAGCATTGATGGTGGCACATGAAAGTTGGTCTCTGGAGGAAGCTTCCATACCAAAGCTTTTGTGCTTGCACGGTCGGCTTATTCTGGTCGTACCCGGCGTGACCCGACGTCTTGCTATCTTGTTTGCACGGGCGTGAAATGCTGTAATCGCCAAATCGCTCTCAGTTAGGCGATATTGGTTTGGGAGACAAGCACCTCCTCTGCGAAAAACGGTATTTGGGCCAAACCATGTCCTTCAGAAAATATCCGATACCAAGACCTAGTTGAGGCAGAAGCACAAACACTCCCTGGCACCACCGGTATTTTTCGGCAAACTCATGTACGCTATAGAACTGTGCGCTCTGACTCAAGGGGGCAAGCAGTAACTGGGCGCCTAAAGTTTTCAAATCCGGCTGTAAACAGTAGATAACAGAGCGACAGACCTGGTCAGCATAGTGTTCGGCAAGTGTAGTGAAATCGGCTGTGATTTCAGAATTCGGCGTGACTCTGGAGTTAGCGTCCTCGCCAAAAGTTGAGTAGCAGTTAGCCAGAGAGACATGGTCTGCCGAAAGTTCAAGAACCTCGAGTAATTGGTCGATTAGAGGATAGAGCAATACTAATGCAGTCCAGTATATTAGGTGAGCCTCTGCACACGTGAGAGACGGGAAATGAAAGGGTACGGGCAATAATTCGGTGAAGAGAGAGCTTCTAAAATCCTTTCGACAAGTCATATGAGCAGGGGATACTGAAGGTTTCCCGAGTTCCTTCTGTGTCATGCAACAGATTCGATGAAGTGTCTCCTCTAAAGAGAAACAAGAGAATAACAATTCTCGCCCAGTGTTTTGAATCTGGTCGTGGCCTTCAGCCCCCTCCAGGAGAAGGCTGTCAACTTGTTCCATCAACACGGAACAGTCCGCCAACCGATCAATAAGCTCATCTATGGGCTCAGGACTATCTGTGTCTTGCAACGAGCTATCCTGCCAGGGGTTGTACAAATCGGGTGCTTTGCGTTTTCCAATCGCATCGCACAACTGGTTTACTAAGCATTAGCAGATAGAAGCGGCCTCTCTAAAATCAGAACACTAACAGTGACGAACTTGAGTTGACGACGAAAGAGCCTGGAGGCAGCGGTTTCATCACCTGGTCCAGAACAGTGGTTGATGATCGCACTACTCCCTTGAACATGGGCAATCCACGCACCAAACCCAGGAGGGGAGCAATTGATTAACTGCTTCGCTGTCAGCCCGTTCGATAACAGTGGAACCGAGTGCAAGTATATCTGTGATACATACTTCGTATATCTGGAATATTATCGTGGTATACAAGATATCGTTTCCGAGAGTTCTCCCCGAGCTTATCTTACCATGTAGCATCCGAATGGCATCCCCGTAGATTTCAGTGCTGCTCTGCAGTAAATGTCTATCTTGATTTTGTTTTGCTAAAAATGCCGTGGAGAGAGCAACGACCGCTTTGTCTAGGAGCAAGCTGCTTCCGGATAGGTCTGGAAGGGTTTGGAGAATATTCTTCCCCGTTCTGTCGCATATATATTGCGATTGGGGTAGGTATCTGTCTATGAAGGACTGGAACAATTGAGATCGGACCTCCACATTAGTATTCAGCTGAGGAATTCCGGGTCCCGCCTGGTCTACTTGGTGAGTCCTAGGACCGTCCAGGAGAGCTTTTGGACGCCGAGTGAACTTTTGCGCTCCATCCTTCATTGCATTGGAGGATTTATGTATGAAAACCCTTGGCCGCCCATAACCGGCGCAGAAATGGCCGTTCTTAACGCACCGGAAGCATTCTGGTTTGGCTTCATCGCACTAAACATGCGTTACACTCCAATGGCCCGGAATCTGTTGGTTTACTGCGTGGGAAAGAGTTTATGTTCAGCCTTACCTTAACCTTTCGGCGCCGGCATGTATTGCATCCGGTTGACTGAAACGGTATGCCGCCCATTTTCTTGACCCGATGTCATCTCAGGTTGCCGCGCGCCGCAGAAGTGAAAGAGGCGAGCTAGATTAAAATCTGTCTTGGATTGGTTGTGGATAAGCTGAACATGCAAATATTGTCTCTCAAGTTACTACATTCTCCTTCTACATGAACCGTGGAAAGTGGCCGAGGATCACGTGTGACCATTAAGCGGCTGATCTTATCCCCCACTCTTTGGTTTTTTCTAGAGGCCCGAATATAGTCATAGTGAGAAAGTCGTGGCCGATGATGTCTGCAAATAATGATGTGGCTTTTCCCATATGAAGGCTGTTGATTAATCTGAAGCATCTAGGACGGTCATCATGATATTATGGTAACTTGCTGCAGCAGAAACACTAGTCCTTTCCAGGCATGGTCTTATGATGACTCATCACTTCCAGAGCTCTTTTATTCTCGATTGCCATTTTCGACCGCTTCCAGCCCATCCCAGGTGTTTAAGATCGACAAGTCTGAACACTAAAGGCTTATCTTAATAAGCCCATTGTGGTTGGATGTTCAACCATGCTTGAGGGGGTCTGATTGAATGCTGCGCAGCTGCGAAAGCTCCAAGGCTGCCCATAATAAGAAAATGCCTAATACATGCGAGGTTTGCGCCTCGGAACTCTCCAAATACCGATGTCCCACATGTGGGCTGATGAGGTAAGTTTCATGATTTCATCAAGAGAGAAGAGAGAGAGGGAAAACCGTGAAATAATTCACAGATACAAAGATGGCCCTTAGAAAATCAAAACCACTAATGCACATCCCCCAGTTGCTCGCTCGCCTGCACCCAATCCCACAAGATCTACTGTGCGCCCAAAGTGCCATCACCAAAGACATCTGAAGAAGTGAATGGTATCCAACATCAGCCAGAAGAAGTCAATGGGCATACTGGTGAAGATACGCATGAGTTACAGAAAGGTACCGATCCCAGTGTTTTAGGGTCTTCACCCCAGCTTAAGGAGCTGTTCAATCGTTATCCCGCACTCCGTGACCAGTTACGAGATATCTATAAGGCTACTCTTGAGGAGGAATGGACTGAGACTCAAGCTCATGGGGGCCGACGACCCTTCGGACGGGGAAAGGGAGCCCCTCGCAACCGAGGACCTTGGACTCGCGAGAAGGGCTTCAATAGAGGTTTGGGGAAAGTCAGAAAACTAAGGGAGATGTGTGAAGAAGGCTCGGAGATCGGGAAAAATGCCGAAGGTTACATGCGATTCGTAGCCTTGGTCAATGGAGAGCGTTTCCCTCACGAATCTGCATGAGGTGTACTACTTTGTTCTTTTCCTCTTTTCTCTGTCCTGGGAAACATCTCGCGTGCATAGATCGGGAGTTTTGGGGTCATGTATCTTACCAGGCATCCTCGACCTCGATTAACTGTGCCGAGGCTGAATATGTTGGGGGGAAGGGAAACCATTCAATAAACCGACAGCCCTTCACCTCGGAACGTCCCTCAGCAGAGGACCGAGTATATTCGTGATAACCTTGACTGGTGTACAGTTCACTTTAGCGATTTATGAAGAAGAACCTAAATAATCAGGGTATTCAAGTAAGAGGTTATAAGATTCTAGGCATACACATATTCACTGATCCGACTATGTCAAATCCGCCGTTCGTTCCGCTGCTGGGTGATTAGACGAAAATTATTGTCTTACAAATATAAGCTTAAACACTCCCTACCATTTTAGGAAGGCTGGAATAGAACAAAAATGACCGTGGCCTGCATCGCCATAGCGGAGGGACGTACTCCGTTCAAGGACTTGTCGACACTCGGGCCATCTTCGACATAAACCAACTAACTTAGCAAGCACGATGTTCCCCATAAAAATCTAAATGAGCATCGTTTGACTGGTTGTCTGACAGAGACTAAGGCAGTTTTAAATGACAGATCCGCTTGAGGCTGGGCCACACAAAGCCGCTGGTGTTAACCCGAACTAGGTTGACGCCGAGGAGCTGAACCAAAGTTTTGTGATATGTGTGATAGACAGGTAAATATGGAGTACACTGGCTTCCTTTAGTGCTTGGAGGTTGGTAATAAGCGAAGATATCCGTGCGGTCTACTCCGTATGGAGCCTCGGGATGTCATTGAATAAGTGCCTGAGGACTAATGACTCAATAAGTACCGAATCAATTGAATCGTCTGCCTTGATTAATCCAACCTTAGGAAGGTACACAGACCCTCTGGAGAACAGGAGTTGATGTGACCCGAGGGTTGGAATCGAGCAGTCCGCTCATTATTGGTCTGGATCCAAGCCCCCATCGACTCGTGGGGAAGGTCGTGCAACGCGGCCTTCATTTGACGAGGTGAAACCGTCCCGAACTAACTATGGTCTTAGCGTATCCTTGAGAAGTCGAGACACCCATCATAGGACCTCCAATGGTAAGCGAGCCCTCAGGGAGAAAAAAACAAAAAAAAAAAAGAATGGGACTTGAAAGATGGGCTATTGGGCGGGTCTAGTTACCTCATGAGCATCCCATGGCAAAATAGGGCCGTAGATGAAAAGAGGTTGTTAAGAGATGATGGTCGTAAACTCATAGTAGGTAGGGTTCGGTGCGGACTTTCCTATGGGGAACATGTGCTGCCTTACCTAGTAATATATATGCCTAGGTATAGTATACTTCGCACTTACTACCTCCTTTAGGCTATTCGCAACACCTAGGTTGTTCATATCTGTATTACTTAATATGTGGCATAGCATGTGTCTACTAGTATCGGTAATGTATAGTCCATGGGAATGATCACCTCCTCAGGGGGGCATTTTGCAGCAATGAGATGCCTCATTCCCATCCTCCGATTCTGATTCGGAGAGGCCGTAAAGCTACCGTCTCATTGTCTGTATCACACATGGCCATTGATGTCTCCCGGTGGCCTCCGAAGCCCTTTTTTGTACTCGAGTCATCTAGGGAGTAGTCACTTGAGTTTCTCATTTTTTGTATTTTGTTTGTGTTTTATTTTAACTGGGTCCTTTCTTCAGTAAGTTTCAAGCTGACTGTAGTGTTTACTATTTATTCTTTATTTTGCTCCTCCCTTACATAGAAACAAATAATAAAACAAATCCTGGCTAAAAACCATGCTCCTCCTATAAGACGAACTTGTTGAAGGGTCCCGTCGGCTTCCCACGCGGTGTGAAGATCCCAACCCGGACGGGCGCACAACGCCTTTAAGTACGCAGAAGTTAAACTATCTTTTCCTGTACAAGGTATTTCCCTGGCAGGTCGACATCGACGGGTCCTCTTTGTTTTTTCCCTCTTCATCTGATTGATTCGCCAACAGGGCACTCGTGCGTGCGTGTGTTTCTAAATATAATAACTGTCCAGCTTGCTTCCGACCAGCTTCTCCATCGTTTTCTGGGGCTCTGTCGGGCCAGTGACATCGCTCGGTCTGTTGCGCGCAAACTCGCCGTCGGCTGATCTTACGACCACTGAAGCTCCTCCCCAGCATAAAAAGTATTTGTTCTCAACGTCACTAGCACTCTCTTGTGAGATTCTGTCCAACTCTTATCTGCGGATACTGGATTTCTCATTACTAATTTTGGATTTGTTTGCGTTTAGTTTCACCCTCCGGTGTTCGGCTTGAGAAGCATCACAGAATAAAAATAAAAAAAAAGGGAAGAAAGAGAGAGAGAGAGAGAAAGAGGAGAGGAAAGCATAAGGAATTGACACCCGTGTTAGAGGAAATCTAACGATCAAATTGCCGACCGTCCTTGGGATCGCTTTAAACAATCCCCTCGATTGCAAATACTCCGATAACTTTCAGCCTGGGTTGCGAGCGACAATGGATGAGCTGCCGTGCCTGCTTCACTTACTCACATAGCAGCAGTTGGACCTTGCGCTATCGGACCTTGTTTGCTGTATCGGATATTCCCTAACGCCGCGGCGCTGGGTTCGCGCGAGCATCACCCATTATGACCTCCCAGACACCGCGACGAGAGCGGTCATCTAGCGACAAAGCCCAAGCCGTGTTCGTTCCTCAACGGCCAGGTCTTCCAGGTCGAACAATTTCCGCCCCTGCTGGTGGTCTGCATAAACTTGATTCTTCCAAAGTGGCGATAGAGGCCGGGAGTAAGATTGAGCCGCCTGTTATAGAAGAAGAGGACAACATGGGATCCTCCGGAAAGAATGGAGTTCCATCTGCCCGTGCTGGCGATGAGGTACAGCCAAAACCATCTGTGTTGCAAGATCCAGGAAAGCGCATCGATTCTAACCGTGATGCACTGTGCAGACCTCGTCGAAGCCGAACTTTCCCCTCGTTACCATTGCCGTTGTTGGCCAAGACAAAGTAGGTAAAACAACGTTTATTCAGAGTGCCTTGGATATGAAACAGCCCCTTTCGTCACGAGCGACTACGAAGAAGATGTCGTTGGACGGGACTGTGTATCTCGTCCGTCTATTGGAGATGAATACGAAGGAGGTATCAATCGGGAATGATGGCCTCCTGGAATGGCCACGAGTTGGAAACGACTCCCCGCCAGTAGACGGCGCTCTTGTTGTCCATGATATGACACAGTCTGTGGATCTCCCTGAACTTACAAGGTTGTTGGGTATGTGTCTCTTCTTTACAATCCCTAATAATGTCTGCATGGTTATTGTACCTCGCCGGCGCATTTACTGATTCCTTGTATAGACACCTTGGCAGCATATGCATTCCCATCTGTATTGGTCGCCAGCAAATGCGACATTCAAGCACCAGATGGACCGCTCGAGCCTGCGTTGAAGAACTACCAAATTCACAAGACATCCCCAGAGTCGCCGCGGTCGCAAAAGATGTGTATTTCAATGGTTCTGCGTGAAGTTATCAACAGTAAATACGGTAAGCCTGCCAACAACTTCATCCCATCAATACTGTAGTACCCCTTATTTCACGCACCCCACATAGAGGAGAGAATGAGAAAGGGAAGAAACTCTGGGCTGTACCGTTGCTTTCTAAATTCCTATCTCATATTTCTTGGCCAAACCCCCTTGAGCGGTCCGCCACGTTCTCACTAGTTCCATGGCGCGGCCTGAGACTAGCGTTCGCGTCCTCCCTTGTCGGCGCCGATCTTCAGGATGTCGGCGTCGCAGCGTGCAATCCGTCTTCCGCTGTCTACTACTACTACTCGCTGATTAGAGCAGACTGAAAACTAACAATCTTTTAGACCCCATTGGTTACTCGTACCCTTTCAAAAAACCCTCCACGCAGGACTGGCATCACAGCCGTGCCAACTCTGAAAACCCCACGGCTGCATTAACTGGAGCTGCGGGCGGCCCCATCACTAGTACCTTTGAACCGGGAGTCGATGGGTACGGTGAAGACCGTCAGCCCACCGACCCCTCGAATTCTTCAAACCTGGCCTCCAATGCGCAAGGCTTACGATTCTCCCGGAGCAATTCGTATCCGGTGCGACCACATACACCTCCTTTAGGGACTCGGTTGAATCCACAAAAAACATCAACGGCGGAGGAGTCACCGGGGAAGGATGACAGTCGACAGCAGCGACTTCATGCGGCCTGGCGAAATAGTGGTGGCTCAGATGCCTTTAACAGCTTTCTAGAGATGGACAACGGAATGGAAGGGCCAGCTAGCGCTCCCTCGAGTCCGGAAAGCAAAGAAAAGACATTGAGCGAAGGATCTTCCAATGGATCCTCGAATGATGCCGGATTCACGTTCGATGAACTCGTTGATCGCCTTGTTGCACAACCAATGTCGAAGCAGGACTCCAAATTCGCGTCTATATTCCTCTGCCTTTATCGCAAGTTTGCCGCACCGTCCACTTTATTGAATGCACTTATCAACCGCTTTGAACGGAACGAGAAGAATTTTACCGATCAACTGACTCGCATTGCGGACCAGCTGAGGTTACTCAATATTATGTCCACCTGGGTATCGGAGTATCCAGGCGACCTAGCCTACCCTAAGACCCGCAAGCGGATTACAGATTTTGTGTCTACTCTGGAAAAGAGTCACTTTTACATGTTTGCCGCAAAGGAGGTTGGGTCCTATCTCGAGAATAATGCAGAAGATGATGATGTAGGCTGGCCATTCAGAGATGGCGACGTTGATGAATTTGACGGGCACGAGACTTTCCTTAACAACTCCGGTCGGAGCTCACCATCCTTATTCCTTGGCGGATCGACGATGGACGAAGGCGAGGAGAACGAAGAGGAAGAAGACCCTATATACAACATGAGTGCGTTAGATCTTAGTGAAGGCGCGCCAGACCCATCTTCGAAGCTTTCGAACTCGGCCACCTTCGAGAAACCCGGCACCGTGTCGAACCAGTCGTTCACATTTTTGAGCATGGAAGCTGCACAGAAGGAATCTCAAAATCTGGAACTTACCCCTCGGCTATCATTGTCAAAAATGCAATGGCGACAATTCATCGAAATACCTGATGAAGATTTCGCGCGCGAATTAACCCGGATTGACTGGATCATGTTCAACTCGTTCCGGCCACGGGATCTTGTGCGGCATGTCAGTATTTCTGGGCCGGACA